ATGTGTGTGTGGGGGGGGGGGAGAGAGAGAGTGGGTGGGTGAGTGTGTGTGTTTGTGTGCGTGCGTGTGCGAGAGAGAAAGGGAGAGTGTGCGGGTGTGTGTGTGTGTGTGTGTGTGTGTGTGTGTGTGTGTGCGCGCGCGCGCGTGCCTGCGCAAGCGCACTCGCGCATGCAGAATTGTGGAGGACAAACTGCTGCTTGCCTGTGCAGCCCCAAAGCGCCGTCTGCCACCCCAATTGTGTGCATGTCAAGCATCGCCAGCGTCCTGTCCACCCGCACCCGCACCCGCACACAGCCAGCCGGCACCCATGCAACGTCCCTCTCCCCTTCCACACCCCTTCCACACCCCACACCCCACCCCCACCCACTGCCACACACGCACGCACGCTCACCACACACATACACACACAGCCACACACACAGCCACACACGCACACACACAACCACCCACACAGCCACACACATGCAACCATCCACCCACCCTGCTGACCCACAGCGCGTAGTTCCTAACGTCCTTGAAAAGGTCAGCCTGCTGCAGCATGCGCACCTGCAATGGCAACAAGACAAGACAATGCGTCGCGCGCCGCCAATCTCATCTCAGCGCAGCAGGCCGGGCAACGACCGCGGCGCCACAAGGGCAGGCCGCAGCATCGTTGCGGCGTGACGTGTCACCCGTCGTGCATAGCCTCGCTGCAAGGGAAAGCGCGACGGCAGCCGCTGCGCAGCACATGCGCACACACACGCACACACACATACATACACACAAACTCATACACGCACTCTCTCTTTCTCTCTTTCTCTCACACACACACACACACGCGCGCAAAAACATGCACACGCACAAAGCAAACACTCAAAGCACACGAACACAAACACACCCACACACAGTAAACACGCACGCAGCAGCAGGCCGCACCACGCTTGCGTGGGCGCCCCCCAGCACGTCCAACACGAGCCCCTGCAGGTAGCGGTCCTGCGCCTGGGGGTTATGATCGGGTATTGTGGGCGGTTCGAAGTTTGTTTTGTGTTTTGAGCGGTATTGGCGGTTGTGGAAAGTTTTCTTGTTTTCGAGCGGTTTAAGGGGGTGCCGCGCGGTTTCGGGCGGTGGGCGGTCACGGCGGGGTTTGAGGCCGGGACGGCGGTTGCGTGGCGCATCCAACAATGGGGGTGTTTGTGATGGTTTTGAATCTTCTCGAGCAAGAAGGCAAGAATCGAGTGACTTCGCATCACTCAGCAGCTTTTTTTCTAGCAGGCGCAGCCTGTGCAGGACAAGGCTCCGAGCGCGCCGCGCCCGCCCTCTCCGCGCCGCGGCCGTGCACCCAGCCGTCCCCGCTTCGCCGCGCGCACACGCGCGCGCGCGCGGGCGCGTGGGGCACCTCTGGCTGCGGGATGTAGCGCACGCGCGGCATGAGCTGGCCAGCCAGCAGGGCGACCACAGACTCTGCGGCCACAGGGGGGTAGAACTCGCACCGCCACGCCGGCCAGTCCTCAGCCTGCGGGGTGGCGGAGGCAGGACGGGGCGTCGAGGTGGGGCTGTGTGTGTGTGTGTGTGTGTGTGTGTGTGTGTGTGTGTGTGTGTGGGAGAGAGAGTGTTTGTGTGTGTGCACCTGTGTGCGTGTGCCCTCTCGGCTGGCGGAGCGCTGTAGTTGGCTCTGCGTCGCAGCCCACACAAGCAGCGCGTTTGCGCTGACAAGCACCAGAAACAAGACCAGCATTTGCAAGCAATTGCGCCCTGGGGGAAACCCATTGATTGTTCAAGGACCCAGGCCCGCCCACCCGCAGCGAGGGCGCGGGGTCCCAGGAGGTGGGGCTGTAGAGCAGCCCCTGCAGCGCCTTGTGGGCGGCGGCCGACTCCGCAGACAACCACGCATCCTGCAGGCGCGGCGATGACGAGGCGGCGGGCGAGGCAGGGGGTGGCCGGAGTCATGGGGCGTTTGACCGTGGTTGACCGGGATTGTGTGTGGTGTGCGGCGCGGTTGGCGCGTTAAGGGGGGCTGTTGCTGTGGTGCCGCGATGCAGCCTGTTGGGTGGGGCCGAGGCGTTGAGGGAACAAAGCACTTGCATGCAGCAGCCAAGCCCCAGATACCCCGACGCGTTTGCAACCGCATGCCCACCAACACCGCAGCGCCGGCAAGGGCGAGGGATCACCGCCCCAACCAACATGAACCCAACAGGAAAGCGCTGAGGCGCCGCACCATCCACTCGGGGCGCTCCCCGAGCACGCTGAGCGTGCTTTGCCGCAGCAGGGGCAGCGGGACGTCCCCGCGGCGCTGGGCCAGGGGGCTGCTGATCCCCAGCGGCGCCGCCATCTTGACCTCGAAGCCTGGGTGTGTTCACCAATTGTTAAAGAGGCAAGGGGTTGGGGGCGCTAAGGCGCCGACCGCCCTCTTTAGAGCCATTTTGGGTGCAAATATCACGTTCCACTGTATGTCACAAGGCATCAGCAAGATGGCCTATGAACAGGCGTGGTGCACGCCCCTGCCGCCGGTTGCAAGGATGCAACCGCTTGCCCGTTGATCAATGTCAAGAGACTGAGCGCCGACGCACCGAAAGGGCGCCGCGCAGCCCCCAGCACCGCCCCGCGTCTGCCCGGCCGCTATCCCCCTGCCGCCCGAGCCTCGTGCCCCCCCCCCCC